CTTCTGCTGGCCGTAGAGCTGTCGGAATGGCGTCAGGTTCAAAGCATGTATAGTTCTAGGCAAGACAGTTATCATCCCTACCTGTCAAGGCTCCTAGACGGGCATTACAGCTTTAGCGACATCTAGAAAATGCTCTTTGCTAATTGCCTAATTTATTTAAATGCCTGTTAGTGCCTTTTTTAACAAGATATTGATGAGTTCGATGTGATACTGCTCTTTTGAACACGTATAGACAAAAAAATAAGCACCGAAATTTCGTTGTAGTATCCCTTTAAAATTGCTCACAACTACGCAGGTAAAACTGCTGTTTGCAACCTTTCCTTCCCCCCCCCCCCCCCCCCCTGTAGTTGACAGCTGCGTCGGAGTGTTTTCAAGGAGACGTGTCACAGGTATGGCCAGAGCGAATGCCAGTTATCCATGTTCGGAACAATATGTGTGATATTGTAGCTTATAAGTGGTGCAGAGCCATCATGTACAGAACCAACAAATGGAGTATGCTTACCGAGCAGGAGCCTGCCATCGTCTATCAGCCGGCCTTGCTCGAAGTTGCTCCGGAGCCACGAGTAGCGCCACGCGAAGGAGTTGTGCACCGACCCAGGATACCGTGGGTCGATGCTCATCACCCGGCAGTCGGCGTTACACACCTGCAATAGTGAGACATATGTAGACATTAATTCAACTGAATCCACAAACAGTTGATTGCACTCATTGTCATGGGGCCCTGTCAAACACTATTTACATGTTGAACGACACACCACCATAAAATATGTGGTTTACAAACTTAAAATATTAAGACAGCGCAAAAAAACGACGGAATATTGGATGAAGTAGGACACAGACAGAGCGCTGCTTGTGTTACAAAGATTAAAATTATATGATAAATAGCGACTACCTTTGATCCACGTAATAGTTTAGGCAAATTTGTATTTTTCTTCAAAGGAGAGTTTGCACTTTGTCAAGCAGGACAGGGACTAATGCTTAAAAGCCTAACACGACATGAAAACAAACAGAGATCGAAAGCTTTTCAGCTAATAAACCCTCCCTTCCTTCGTCGAACAAACGCTTGTGCGGAGGATGAACGAGTACTAACAATTCATAACTCTCTAAAATGGCATATCCACACCGCATAAGCGTTACGCTCTTTTTCAAACCCATTCAGAACGGGCATTGACCTATAACTAAAAGCGCGAGCTAGCTGCTTTGGATAAAGCCCCGGCGGCTGCACGAGCGCTCGTGCAGCGAGTGCTCCAGTCAAGCCGTTCGCGCTTGCAGTCTTCTTAGTTAGTTCATGCTAAGGTGAGACGTAGTATATATGCGACCATACGTACCTCCATCGCGTTCAGAGCGTAGAATTGTTTGCGGCACCAATACGCCGCCTTCGTGACGGTGGGGTCGTTCTGTGACGGACCGACGATGGCGATCATCGTCCCGTCGACGCAACCGATGACGCCGGGTATCCTGCCGAGCCGTTGGAAGCCCCTCTCGACGTCTTCCCTCTTGCCGGTTGTCTGGGAAAAGTCGATCCATCCGCGCCGGATCCCCAGAGGCTGCACAATACCGAGGGACATGAGCCCGCACAGCAATACCGACTGTAGCCTGATTCCTCGCTATGTGCTCGTCGCTCGCCACCATGCTCTGAAAGCTCCCCGCACAGTTTGCTCCCCGTGGCTAAAAGCGAAGTGCGCACAACACTTGCTGTTCAACAGACATCACCGTCCACGAACCTCGCAGCCTCAACTCTGGCTCCTCGCGCAGTTCGTCGCACAATCAACGGACCACATTCTTGGTGAGACGGTACTGCCTCCGAAAAGCTTCCTCCGGTAGTTCAAAGGCATCGCGGTGTCGTGGTGCTGCCGGTGGAGCCTTTTCGGAGGAAAAAAAAAGTTGAACAATAGAAAGACTGTCGCTCTGCCTCCGAGACGCCGTGTTTCCAATTTCGCTACCGCGAAGAGACCATCGACAGACTCGTTCCCTTTTCAGACGAAACACCGAGGAAACGAGACGTCAAAGTGTTGTCACTTCCGGTGGGGGCGGTTAGCCGCCTCCGCCCACATTTTCGTAGGGAACTTTCGTCATTCGAGCCTCAACCAATCAGACGCAATTCGTCACTTCCGTTTCTTTTAGGAGAAACGAAACATTTGTCCAACATAGGTCCCCAGAAGCCGAAAAAAATCCCCTAGCGGTGATAGCGAGAAACAGTTCTGATCAAAGGTCTATGTTCGTAAATGGTTTTAATAAGCGCGTAAGAGTAAAATGTAGTAACTCTTTGCGATTGAAAATAGGGTGCACGTGTTGTTTGAATCATGATCATGAAGAAAGGTGTAAGAAACGAATGCGCCACTCAACTCTGTTTTGCTCGGACAGAGTGTGACCGCCCGGACGGCAGATTCCCAGCCCTCGATGCTTGGCGTACGGATTATGTCGATCGTTCCGCTAGTCGCACTCTTCCACCATCATTTTGGATGAGCGTGATTGAAACATCACGTGTACCATATTTTCAGTCATCGAGAGTTACTCTAATGCAGTTATCAGGTTTGTTTTTTGCGACCACCACCAGGGTATTATTTCCGGCTTCTGGTCGGTCACATTCGAATTTCTGAAGACGCCCTGGAACACGCCCAGCCCGCTTTCAGCCAATGGCGCCTCCTCATTTGTCTCCTATACTTCCCAACGAATGGCCAAACTCTCTACATATACGGCTCTGTCGCACTCGTAGAAGACGACGACTCAGAAGAGCGCCCCGCACTTGTGGACGGCACCGCATCCATCGCACACGTGTTCTTTTCCTGCGGCCTAGAGGCGGTCCCGCGGCGGGGTACGCATTCTCCACAGACGAATGTTGACGGCTTAGAATATAGGGACCTTAATGAAGGCAGGATCGCAGCGCCACTGGGTGAACTCGTCGACGAACGGAAACTTTCCGTTCCTCCGCGACCGATGGAAACTGTACGCTCCTCCATACAGTCGAGCCTATGCCATATGGCTGTGACGTCATGACCCTATCGACCAATCAGGATTTTCACGTCGCGGCTTCCTCGTTGCGGAGGGCTTAACGGAGGGGGCCCCCCCGGTGTACAAACACTTCCTAATGGTTCCATCAGATCGTAGCAGTGGCAGCACTAAAGCGGGCTATAAAGGCGCGTGAACTTAAAGTGTGACGTCACGGCACCACGACCGAAGGCCGCGCAGATCGCAAACGAGTGGTGCGCCAGCGTGCGACTGGCACTCGCGTCGTAGGTGCGCGGTGCCGAAGAAAAAAAAAAAGAAAAAGCAACAGGATACGTTATCTGTTACGTGCAAATAAAAGGAACGCATAAACGGACCTACGTTACGTTAAAATAAAAGAGAGGGCGTTAAGGCCCGTTCACACTCTTGCGACCGAGTACGACTGAGAGAGACGAGATCTCTTAAGGCCCGTTCACACTCTTGCGACTGCTTGCGACCTCTTAAACCTGGGTTCCTTAAAACTTCTTAAACCAGAAAACACACTGGCGCCGTCTATTGGGAAGCAGTGTAAACTCGGCGGTCCGGCATATTTTTTTTATTTCTCGCGCAATATCCTTTCTTTTTTGGCTCGAAAAACTTTTGTCAATGTTATAAACGAGCCTTTCTATGGGTATTACGCACATTTGACCTCGGAAATCCCGCAAAACCTTCGCTTTTGTGAAATGCAGTTCTAGGGTCACCGCATAGATGGCGCCACAATGTCAGTGTGTTCCCTCATTCTAGAAACATTTAAGAAGTTGTAAGAGATCTCGTCTCTCTCAGTCGTACTCGGTCGCAAGAGTGTGAACGGGCCTTTACATGCAGATAAAAAAAAAAGAAAGTGACGCGCGTTACTTTTCGTTGGTTATGAATTGAAACTTTTTACTGTTTTGAAGTTAGACGTATTCAGCGCTATATATTTAAAAAGATTTATAATGTTCATGCGGAATTGAATACAATTACTTTATCTTGTTCATGGTTCCACCTGAATGCTCGTTAGAAATAGCGCGGAATAAAAAGGTAAAAACGCAAGAATACATATATTATTTGGTGCCTAGAAGCACGAAAAATTAAGGTTTTTTTTGTCTCTTTTTGGAAGCTATAATCACTTCTATATCCTCCCGATCTCGGTTATGCTCCTTATATATAATTCCTTTTTCTACTCAAAATACAATTATAGCTTCTTGGTATGGGGGAATACGACCACTACGAGCATAAAACTGCTACATACTCTACAAAAAAAAAGCGGTTCGTATCATATGTAATACTGAGTATAATAATCATACTAGTCCATTATTTATTAAATTGAATATTGTACAGATTACTAATCAGTATTATTATAAACTTTTTCTTGCGTTGTAAATATCTTTTTGCCAAAAAGAAAATATATTCATATCTATTTCCAACCTTAGGATGAGGGAGGTTACTTATGAAACTAGGTCTGCAGACGCATGGTTAGTGCCGCACTCCAGAACGAACTACGGAAATCAGACATTGAAATATATAGTACCTCGTTTTTTAAATCGCCTGAGTGAGTTGAATGTAAATTTTTTGAATGAAACCATAAAACTATACAAAACTATAGTTTTGTATAAAGATCTAATGCCCTTAATGAGTTTCAGACAAATTCAAAACTAACCTTATGGAGTTTAAAACTTACATTTTGCAGTCACATTACAAGAGGCAATTATGTAGTAAACGCTATGTATACCGTTGCATTAAATAGGGCAGGTTATAAAAAAATCTGTAATAGAGAGCTTTAGTAGATTGTGTTTTCAGGCTACGCTAATCGTAGCGGGAGCTCGCGCTGCCACTTCGATGCATGCTCTGAAGCGCGCGCTTGTAGCGGTAGCGGGCCTTTGAAAACGATCTACTAAAACTCCTTATTGTTTTCCGTGCTAACGCGAAGATAGCGAATTCACAACATCTTTTAGGTTTTCTTCACAAAAGATACTTCGGATTTCTGAACAAAATAAGAATCCGCAAGCCACGTCATGAAGCACGAAGAATGTATATATCTGGAAACCACTAATTTTATTTAACGCCTGAAAACGTGTACTTTTGAAAACTCCAAGTCTAATCATAGCATTCTGGCCACTTGCATGCAGTCGACAGAATTGTTGGTTTTGGAATGCTCGAAACACAGCAGTTCAATACAGGCAAAATTGGGGACAGGTACATGTGGGGGAGTGCGATTCATTCTTTGTCTACATCACGCAGGCCGTTCAGCAGCCGTTCTAAAGGACCAAGGCACGTTTCGACTCGTTCGTTGAGCATTTCCACTCTCCTTCGGGTGACTGCTTCCTTTGAGATGCGACCGACTTTATCTTCTAGGTTCTGGTGAGAAAGAAAAAAAGAGAAGCTACGTAAACATGTATCATACTTTATCACCGCGCTATCACCAAAGGTTTCAATATTTAATTGAAATAAATAAATTGGGTTAGATAAGCTGAAAAAAAACGGTAAATACGGCCCAAGAAGGACTTTCTGGCAGCCGAGAGTTTTTGCTTTTTGCTGAATATATTGGTCACTGTCTTGTGTGTTTGTCTTAAATATCCCTCTTTCCTTATCGTAAATTACTAACCAACACGCTCAACCCGGTGTATGTGTGTGTGTTTGTGTGAGTGAGAGAGAAAGCGAAGGGGGTGGGGCCAGGGAGCGATCCGGAATTGAACGCGAAAAAGCAACCGAGTATATTCAGGGGGAATTATTCTAACACGATCCGTCATATATAGCCTAAATTCATACTACCCTTGTGTCTGCGCATATATAGCTTTTATCATAATATAAGACGAAATAAAGCTGAATGGACGACAGAAGGTACATGGTATATCACCAATGAAGGGGGTATAGTTGTCTAGAGGAGATGGAGGGATAATTATCAATCGGCCCTTTAGTTAATGTACCATGTGTGTAGAAGAATCGTCAAAGTTCAGGGGGCGTTATGCTGTGTCCTCCCTGCCAATCCAATCAGGACCGAGAGCACTCCATGGAACGGTCCCGAGTTCGTCCAGCCAAGTCACCACCGAGGCCCCAGCGCACATGGCCTGACCAGAGAAACGAAAGAGCTCCACCTCCACCTATGTCCCCTATACTTCGTTTCTGTTGAGGTCCTATGCATCACCTATGCAAGGCGTATACGTGGCGTGATCATTTGTGGATCCCTGGCCCGCCTCAAGCGGACAACACGCCGAAGCCATTCAAAAGTCGCTGCAGCGTACAACGCGCCCGTCTTGGCGTCTCCGCCTGACAGCGTCACGCAAGTTATGAAACGCTACTAAGACGTTCGACGCGATGCTGACGAGAGCTTCAGACGATTGCAAGCAGGCAACCTTGCCACGGCCATCTCTCGATTTGAGCGAGAAAGCATTCACACTCGCGAGCCAGGGAAAGGTGCCGTCACGCCCATGCCGCATGTGCTTTCACGGAGGGGGCTCCGGCTTTAACGCCATGCTTGCAACGGCTTATACTCCTTAAGCTCTTATGCTGAGACTGCAGTTAAGGCTAGAAACGCAAACTAGCCCGCGCTACTGGCTTTGAGACGTGCCTTTCCAGCGCGAGAGCTCGTTCTGCAGAAGAACGTTTCAAAGCCCCGATCTCCCGGGCAAGCTGTTCGAGGTGAGAAGCTCGCTAAGGGCGAGTCTGATTTCCACACTGCAGAGCCGTATATTGGGAGAGTTTGGCCTATGGGTGGCGCAAAGGTCGACGCCAGCGCCGAATACTGCCCCCATCGTTAGAGCGTAAACTAAAAGGGCAACACACTGTCGACCAGTCAGCAGACCGCGACGTCACAATATTGAAAACTGCATTTAAAGCGTGAAATTGAAGCGTTCAATCTCGGCGTCTCGGTGTAGTCTCGGTGACAGTTTGCTCTGGGCCGGCTTGGTAGAACAGCGTCTTAGCTGAGACTGACTGAAAAAAAAAAAAAAACAGTCTAAAGGCCCACGAGTGTCTCGAGACGTGCAATGAGCCTCGCGCAGCTCGTACGCTGGCTTTGGCAGTGCTTTCTTCCCCCCAGTCTCAGCTCAGACGCTGTTTCTAGCAAGTCAGCCCTGTGTCTGGGGCGCACGTTCGTTCATTCTGCCGTTGAATATGGACGTGACGAAAACTTCACATGCGCCAAGTTTTCAGCCACCGAGAGTTGTACCTGTTCACTCTAGCAACGCGAAAACGGTTTAAATTAGTCGTGTCACATATTTAGAGCTCACGACCACTGCTAGGGGCAGTTTCGAGTCCTATAATTGGCCCCGAAATGCTCGCCTATTCGAACCAATGTATGGCCAAACTCTCCCAATAAACGGCTCTGCCACACTGCGAGTAGTGCACGTGCTACCCACGAGGTTATGTTTTAATTTTCATAGTGCATAGAAGCTTGGAATTGCACATACTTGCACCAGCAGAGGAAGTTGAAGTATCCTCACTGTGGGTTGTGAGCAAATTCTACCAGGCGCTGATACCCAAACTTCTCGCCGCGAATACTCAGTACGCCCTTACGCTGAGACTAGAAGCTCAGCCTTCAGCTCGAGCTTTCTGCCTTTGCTAAAACAAGTGTGAACACGGGGGCACACGCAACCAAACCACCGCGGAAGCCAGCGAGCCCGCGTTGAAGGCTGAGCTGCTAGTGGTGAACGGAGTATAGCGTTTGTAGCTTTGGCTTTAGTCTCAACTGTAGTGGGAACGACCCTTTATTCGGGCATTGATGGGTAATCATGTAAAGAAGTGCCCCTCACACTAGCTGAGGACACAACGAGTGTTTTCAGATGTTTTGCTACAGAAGATAGCACCTTACCTACCTACGCCTTTTCTTTTTTTTCTTCTAGGTCATAGGGATTCAACTTTGAATGGTTTCTTCATTTATGGCGTGTTAAAATTTAGACAAGACTGCTGTCTACTTTGCTTCAGCAAAGTGCTCATCATGCTGAAACCTCAAGGAGGTTGCATTAATGAATAAGTAAATTATGCTTGGGTGGCCGTGTAGGGTAGGGGTGAATGCCCCGTCATTGTTTTTTGGGTGGCATCACCTGAACCTGTCATAATTGCGTGTGGATAAGTCATCTTCCCAAAAAGACATGAATGTAAACGTAATTTATAACGACGATTTTTGGTCAACAAAAAAAAACATTTCTGCAGGGTATCATGGTGTCTATTATCTTTAATTCCTAAGGCAACCTCTATGAAGTGTTTGAAGTTTTCAAGTAAAATTTTGAACCTACCTGCAGCACAGACCTGTAGACCTTAACGTCGTCTTCAAGGTTAATGCGATATTGATCCGCCTCAAGCTGAAATTAGTTTCGTAAGCACCTTTTACACCACATGTAATGTGAGTTGTTCTTCCGAAATAAAGGTAGCTTAAAAAAGGAAGAAACAATTCAATATTATTCTAGTTAAGTGTAGTTGCCTGTACCTGACAGTTCTCCAGTTCTTGTATTCTTTTTACCAGCTTCGCGTTTTCATTCCTCGCTTCCTCTTGTTTAGACATCTGAAAAAAAAAAAAAAAAACTCGTATTTATGTTTACTCAAGGACGTATATTGTTCGTTCGAAGATACATAAATGTAATCATGATAGGTTGACTTTATTTCCGTGCCATTGAGACTTCAGGATAATACCATCAGGAAAAACTATGCGAATTCGATATTCCTATATTTACAACGGGATTTTACATCGCAATGTTCATATTTACATCGCGAAGGCACAGAACACCGAAGATTGCGTTCTTCGGAACTTTGGCTTAGACTTGCAGAACTGAACTGAAGAGGGTGGGATTAAACCATCACAGAGAACATGTGAGATGACAAAAAAGGAGGAGGGCTGGAGACAATTCTACAGTCTACTGCGGTGTTGTACGGAACGGCATTCCAAGTAACGGCGTTCCTGGAACGCGTTCCTTTGAGGAGGAACGCGTTCCAGTAACGCCGCCGTTCCATTTTGCATCGGTGGAACTGGAACGGAAACTCGTTACATTTCAACTGGAACGAAAAAAGGAACGGCGTTCCTTTTTTAGGGGCGATGCTCCTTAGGGTCATTCTTGTCCGTCCGTCGTCCGTCCTCACATCGATCTTGCTGGTGCTCGTGCTCGTGTGCTCACGTGCTCGTGCAGGGCAAAAAAAAAAGATAAAAAATAAATGTTTGCGCAGTCCTGTGCTGGAAGACCCCAATGGATTTCTAGTCCATCGCCTTATCCACTCGGCCACGGCTGCGGGACGAGTAGGGGGCTCTGTAATGTGGTAGTAACTCAAGAGCTGAGGATGTCATGGATGAAACGTTGCATGTAGCCGCTCAAGCCTATACAGGAGAGGGCGCTGCGGTCAAATGCTCAAATGCGTATATAACCACGTTCCATACCACAAATTCTCTTTCTGACATGGATGAGAACGAACGAAAGGCTCGGCATGCTGCGGCTCAGCGTCTACGCAGACAAGCACCACCGGAGCTTCGCCCCAATCAACATCATTCACCACGTGGAGCTGCGGTCATTTTTTTCGTCCAGTGTGGTATTTTGTATTTTATTTCCAAGCGGAAATTCTAAAAGTATAAAAACAATATATTTACGAAGAATAGGATCTCGTTAACATTTTTGGTTACTTATCTGAGGGTTTATTTTCTGTTGTCCTCGCTTTGTAACAGTCGGGTGCAGGAGAGCTAGTGGACACCCATTATTTTTATTTTTTTTGTGCACGAGACTGTGGTACTAAAAGCACAAGTTTTAGTCGAAGAAAAACACACAGAACGAGGGACGTTTGAAACTCGGCTACTTTCTTTGCTTCCACGAATCTTCAGACACCCAAAAATCTAAGGCAGACTACAGCCATCACTTAACTTTCACAAAGAGACCTACAGTTACAACAAGAGAACAGGTTACCTGACATTGAACACACCCTTACAGAACTGGGCGGAGCCGATCGCAACCTTCGGAACGACGCGTCGTAACCTCGGTCGGAAGCCGGTGTCTCGAAGAATCGTTTGCGGCGAGTCGGAGCGGCGACCGGATGTCGGATCGGACGTCGGATCGGACGTCGGATCGGACGTCGGATTGGACGTCGGATCGAACGCTCTCGTCGTACATGTGTTTCGCGCTTAAGTCGCGGAATTCGCGAGCATTCGCGCCGTGATTTTTGTCGACACACGCAGCCTCACGAGTTCCAATTGCCGAGCCGCGCCGGTCCCAACTCTACCCCACCCTCTATTCTAGTAGACCAGTGTTGTACACGTTCATAAACAAAAAAAAAAAAAAAAAACGAAAGCTCCTTCATCGTTTTTTCTCATTTTTGGAACGCGTTCCCGTTACAAGTTCTATATGTGAAAAAAAAACTCGTTCCCGTTACACTTAAAAAAGTGGAACGTATCGCCACATATACGTTACATTTGTATTTTGCAGATTACCATTCTTAATTATATAAAGAAATGTTTTTTAGTTCAGTTTTTATGTCTATCCCATCAAATGGCAACATACGAATTTGACTGCAGTGATGGAAGGGCGAAAGCGCGTTTTCATTTGTTGATATATTCACTTTTAAATATCTCAGCTTTGAACCACCCTATATCCCATCCTATACCCTATTTATACTAAGACACCCTATAGAGTTCACGTAGACCCCATAGGGTTTCTACCCAAGATCCATAAGGTGCCTGCAAAGAACTCATACAAGGTCTAGAGGGTATACCTACGGGGTCCGCAGGGAAGCGATACAGGGTCTACACAGGGTCCTTATGGGGTCTGCAGAGAAGTCACACAGGGTCTGCACGAGGAGGTCCTTAGAAAAGCCATTCAGTCTGCAGGGGGGGGGGGGGGTAGCTACGGGGTCCAGAGAGACTAATATTATTAGAAAAACTCCGTTAGGAAACCTCCATAGAGCCTGCCCTGAAAGAGGGGTACCGATTCGTACTCAAGAACCGAAATAATAGCGATCGCAACGCCGTCATTTCTCCCACAGCGACTACTCGGGGTACAGCACGGTTGCTTCTATTGGTTCGGGAGTATCGCATTCGACAGCGTCCGCTGCGACTCTTCTATTTTCATTTTAATCGTCCATTTGGGCTCCGAAACATATACGGCGAAAGGGATTTCAGGGATGCCCACCCCGCGACTCCCAAGCGGACGCGCAGCGAATTACTACCGAAGCTAGGACGCGCCCAGGTCGACACGCGCTATCTGAAACCACCGGTGAGACATGTTTGTATAAAAACAATATTAATTCAGTCGCAAAGCCTTGTAAACTAAAGATTCTAGCAAACATCATGCGCCAGTCATTTTGTGCTGACCTCCAACAAACGTTACTACAAAGGGAGCTTTTAGACCGCAGCTCTTAGGCGCCCGTTTCCGGCTTGAGCGGCGTCGGCGTCGCCCTCGCCGTCGCCGTCGGCGTAACCGCGCGGTATATTATAGGTAAATATCCCCGCTAAATTTAGAGAAAATTTTTCCCTTCTAAATCTAGCGGAAAAAGTTTCCCCGGTAAATCTAGCGGAAAAAGTTTCCCCGGTAAACCTAGCGGAAAAATTTCCCCGCTAAATCTAGCGGAAAATCTCCCCGCTAAATGTAGCGAAAAAATTACCCCGCTAAGTCTAACGGAAAATATTTCCCCGCTAAATTTAGCGGTAAAGTTTCCCCGCTTAATTTGGCGAAACAATTTCCTCGCTATATCTAGCGGAAAAAATGTCCCCGCTAAATTCAGCGGAAACATTTCCCCGCTAGATCTAGCGGAAAATATTCCCCTAAATAAAAGGCGAGCAGGAGAGGAGGAGGGGCATATCCTCTTCTCCGTACCTTCCCCTCCTCCTCAAATGCTGCGCTCTAATTCGGCGTTACAGGGAGTTGTAAACGGCTTTCATTTTTTCTGTTTGTTTTTACGAAAAAATGGGTTCTAAAAGCTCATGCTGACCACAGTAAAGAAAAAAGATTGAACCGCCTTCTTCGCACCTCGAGCCTGGGAGTTTCGGTACTCTGGGAACATTAAGTATATCTAGCATTATCCATACAAAGCAACTTTCATGTTTCAAGTCGTCGCTAAAAGGTGGCGCTGTTATCGTATTTAGAATAAGATAACAGATAACAGAATAAGATAACAACAGGTAAGAATTATTTCGGTACATACTGAACCCTTCCTCCGCCACATTGAATATGCCCTGAAGTTGGACATGCATCTAGACATCAATGTAACATATTGATGCCCGGCGCTTAATTAACAACTCTTTAACTCGGCCACCTCCCTACACCTAACGAAAACATCTAACCGGAATCACTTTATTAATCTACCAATCTGTAGCTCAAACCATCGAGAAGCACTAGCGTGTGCATAGACCACCAGGGCCATAGCATGGCAATATGAAGGAATGAAAAACGTTTTTGTATCGGGAGATTCCTTTATCGTTGTTATGGCCATTCTATGACAAACCAGCGGTCCAGAAATGGTCCATGAATTGTCTACGAGAATTCATGGGGTGGACACAGGGATAATTGAATGGCAATAGTATGAGCATAAGACGTCCATACCTATTTTTGTAAGGTGGACACTTAGTAAACAACTAAATTTTCAGAAATACAAAGTACAGATATATGGAGATTTTAATCATCCAGGAGTGGACTGGCCGCTGTCGTTTGCTATTGCCAACAATCCTATAACATCAAAGATTACTTTATGGTTACTGTCGCTCATGGACTACTGTTGTCTTGACCAACTTAATCTAATTAAAAGTAGTGCAGAAATCGTCTAGACCTTGTTTTATCTAATATATCAGTCGATTCTGAGATCCCTGTTTTAAATCACTTAGGGCGAATAGGTGAGTTTCACCCACAATTCAAGGTTATCTTTTACCTTCCACGAAAAAAGCCACAATACCGTAGTTGTTCTAATTACAACTATGCCCAAGTATATTATCTGAGCATTCACAGATACTTCAAAAACTTTGATTGGAGCGGGGCTCTTGCAATTACTGACACAGAAACGGTGACTCAGCCGTTTTCGTGAATTGTTAAAGATGTGATTCATTATTTTGTGCCTCAGCGGATTTTCAAGCCTTCAAGTTATCCCGAATGGATTCCCTAAAATTAAAAAAAACTTGTTTGCGTAAAACAAATTCACTTTCACATGCTTTAAACGAACTGGCAATACTTTATGGTGTACTCAGTTTAGCATTTATCTTGCTCTAGCTAATAGTTGTACTATAAAGATAAGCGCTTAAACCTTGACCAAATAGAGCGTTGCTTGAACCGAAGCCCAAAATATTTTTGGAGGTTTGCGAAACAGCACACGCGCGATACTACCCAAATTATTTAAATTTGGGACCACTCACACAACGACAGATCTTCGTATCTTATCTTCGTAATTGATGTAGACTCATTTATTGAAAATTCCAAATTGTCGTTGTCTGCAGATTACATTAAGCTTTTTATGAATGTTCATATCCTTTTCGACTTCGAAACTTTACAGAATGATGAATCACGCATAGTTCAGTGGTGAAATGTGAATAGCTTGTTACTGAACCCTCTCAAAACAAACGTCCTGTCTCTGTGCAGACGTCTTGAAGTATTACATGACTATTATTTATTAAAGGTATTTTCAATCAAATACATCTTTGTTTTAAGAGACCTTGGCGTGAGCATAGATAATGAACTGAAGTTTTCTTCGCATGTGTCCACTATTCTTGGCAGTGCGACAAAGATGTTGGACTGATATCTTGCATCCTGCAGAAATTTAAAAATTCTGCCTGCATTATTCGTTTCTTTTGCTCTCTAGTTAGGTCGGGGCTTGAATTCTCTTCTGTATCTTGGAATTGGTTATTAGAGACGCAGTCAACAAAAATTTAAAGTGTGCAAAAACGCATCGTTTACGACCGCAATCTTCAGCGCCGCATTTATTTTGTTTGGAGCTTTCTTCTAGATAAGTTCTTGCTGAGGTCACTGTCTGACAGGAGAACAGAATGCGAATAGTATTTTTTCTCAAAATATGGTAAATAAAATTATAGATAATGATTCGCTTAAATCAAATGCAATCAGATGCATGTCCCCTCCCGTTCCACTAGGAACCACTGTAATGTTTATATCAAGACTATCTTCAGGTCCCCTTGTCACGCATACAATCACTGTTCGACCTCTTTGACCATCCAGGTATTGGAATATTCAGTGATTTTGTTTTTGTTTACCACAAAAAATTGCAAGCGATTGCTACCCATCTCTGATATGTGTTTGGTTTGTTTTGTGTTAATTTGGTGTTTACACGTTCTTTGTGCGCTGAAGTGAAAACATTTTTGGGCACACGAATATAAGGAATATTATTATGATTATTGTTATTATTAATAACAATTATTAATAATAACAATTATTAATAATAAATACTATTATTAATAATAAGTATTATTATTAATAATAACAATTATTAATAATAAATATTATTAATAGCAAAATTAATTTTAGTATTAATATTAAAGGTAGGTTACAAACCGAAAAAATATTTAAATATTATTCCAGTGAAATGTATTTGGCTCTACCTGACGGTTCTCCAGTTCTTGTATTTTTTTTACCAGCTTCGCTTCTTTATTTTTCGCTTCCTCCTGTTGAGACATCTGGAAAAAAATAAACAGTCGTAATTATGTTCACTAAAGGATGTATTTCCTTGTTTATCCATACATAAATAAATATAATCATGATACTTTGACCTTAAGTCCATTCCATTGCGACTTCAAAATAATACCATCACAATAAACTTTTCGAATTTCGTATTCCTATATTTACTACGCGATTTTACATCGCAATTTTTATATTTACATCGCGAAGGCACAGAACGCCGAAAATTGCGTTCTTAAGAACTTTGGTTTAGAGTTGCAGAACTGAATTGAAGAGGGTTGAATTAAATCATCATAGACAGCATGTGAGATGACAAAAGAGAAGAACGGCTGGAGACGATTCTACAGTCTACAAGAATAGGGGGTGGGGTAGTGTTGGGACCAAGGCGACTCGGCAGTGGGAGATTATGAGGCTGCATGTGTAAACAATCACGGCGCGGCAATCGTCACGATAGCAGAAATTCGCTGCAGCCCGCCAAGCTTGAAAGACATTGCTTAAGGCGTTTACAAACGATCGCAACTTGCCTATCACGGCGCATGCTCCCAACTCTACCAACCTACCCAAGAAGCACCAATGTCGACACCTTTCGCGACCTACACCAGGCTCCTCATGCGAGCCGCTGAGGTCCTGACACTACCCCTATTCACACCTGTAAGGTACCCACTACAATTAATCAATTTGCTTGTACTTGAATATATTTTGTAGCAATTTTAATCATTTATATACATTTATTACCAAGTAATGACAAATATTTTTGTATTACTTACGGAATCATCAAAATTACTTCCAACAGTTATTTTTTCCCTCCCCTTTCTAAAGGCGCCTTTATTCCTACAAGTTTCTGTACAAATGAATCATCAAACCAAGTCTGCGTTAGAAGAGTAATTTATAAAAAATTGCTTGCTTAAGAAGATAAGTAGTGTATGATTTGTGGATCTTAATGCAATAATGAACAGTTCAAAAAACCCGTTTTCAAACCGCCAAAAAAAAATCTGACGCCTTGAGAGTCAAGGAATCGGAAAAGTAACGGCTACCTTTTCAAGTAACGAACAAGTACTTTATTATCTAGTAATCAAGTAATCTAATTGAATAATTTCTAAGCTAAAATGTTTGAAATTTGTTAAATTATAATTTTTTTTAGAAACGTGTACAAGGCCGTGGGCCGTATTTTAGCACAGTAACATTTATGCAGAGCCACAGTACCCGATTGAGGTTAACACGAGGTGAAGAGCCTCCTATCCCAAATCATATTTGATATGATCGTATGATAATACCCATAACCTCGCACGGAATTTGTAAATCCTTAAAGTCTCTGAAATGTAGGAATTAATCTTTCTTGCAAGTGCTACGAGTAAAACATGCACATGAAGAGTTCATTCCCACACGCTTGAAGAAATTTCTTCTGCGTGGCAGTTTTGTTTTCGATCATCAGGCGAAGCTAATCCGGATCATATTGAGAACGGTGCACTGTTCAATGTTAGTACACTCGCAAGCGTTTTTAACAAAGATTCAATTTCACTGCTTAAGCATATACAAGTTGCACGTGCATTTCTAGTAAAAACATTTAACTTTATTGTTGTTTACTGAAAATGAATATACATACGTTGCACCGCTCCATATCTTTTATTTTCTGTTGAAGCTCCGAAATCGTGTCCATTGCCTTCTGTAATTGAAAAGACAATAAAACTAACACTCCCCAAGCAGCAGAGGCCATTGGTCCAATACTGGGCATATCTCGGAAAAAGAGGGCCATCAGTGGCCCATTGTGTTCTCCCTGTAACCAATATTGAAAATGTATTGAGAAAATGGGCGATGATTGGCCCGCTTTATCTTTTCTATGACCAATATTGGGAAACCATTCGAATCCTACTGGAAAAATCGGAAACCACTTCCAATGTGGTGCTAATGAGCTTACAATGTCGCCCAATATCGGACGGTCATTGGCACCCCAACGGATAAATTGGACACCACTTTCAATAAATTTCCAATGGGATCCTAATGTTGTTTTATATTGGGCAGTCATTGGCACCCCATTGCATAAATAGGATACAACTTCCAACGAAGTGCCAATGAACTCCCAATGTCGCCCAATATTGGACGGTCATTGGCACCTCAATGGAAAAATTGGATACCATTTACAACAAAGTGGCAATGGGTATCCAATGTTCTCATATATTGGGCAGTCATCGGCACCATTTTAGATACGTTGGATACCACTTCCAATGAAGAGCCAACAGGCTTCTAATGTTTTACAATATTGTGCTGTCATTGGCACCCCATTGAATAAATTGTACCATTTAAATTAAAGTTCCATTGGCCCGCTGATATCCTAGTTTTCAATGATGAAAAAGTAAGATTATAAGTAAAACCATTACATGAAACTTAATTATTAATTAGTTCATTAATAAAGGTTATTAAGAATCTAATTATACCAAATGTTTTTAGGTTGTTTTTTTCCAAATACGCTTCTTCGCAGACACCAACGTGACAAACTATTTCTGAGAAATGCGTACCTTTCGCGGATACAATTTGGCGAACGGCTCGCGGAACGCTCCACATACGAGTGCACTAGACAGACCACTAGACGCCTATACAAGGAACACAGCAGAAAAACAACGTATACTCACAAGGATCACTTGATTAAGAAGTGCATTGTGTGGGTCCTTCTCATGTTCCTGCATCTCTTTCCTTGGGAACTTAAAACAATTGTTCAAAATAGCTTGTAGTATGAGCAATATATAATGGTTACGCATTAACTATATTAAAGCTTAAAATATTACCAAAATAAACTTTTTTATTGACAAATTTTAAAGAAACAACTTTTGTCCCATTTGTCACACACAGCGCAACAAAGTCACTCGGTGTCCCTTTGGCTTAATGTCGGTATATTTTAGACAGGGTATTTAAAACGTGCGCGAGTTCAGGCTCATGAATTATTAGCATGCTGGTTCTTGCCCTTTATTATAGATAGCCGCTAAGCCCTATTCGTCCTCATAATTGATATTATGATACTCCTCTGATATAGATGATTTCCATATCAAACCAATTAAGTATGTATTAGGTGTCTTGGCACCGTTTTAACACATATTGTGAATGCCTCATTGTATAGTGGTGTATTTCCTACAAAAATGCAGATTGCAAAAGTTATTGTTTTGTTTAAAGGTGGAAACAAAAACGATTTTTCAAATTATAGACCTATATCAATATTACCTGTGTTTTCTAAATGCCTTGAAAAAATCATTCATAATAGATTAACAAGTTTCTGTAAAAAATTTGCAATAATTACAGACTCTCAGTTCGGTTTTCGCAAAGGCCGATCAACGGAATTGGCATTGTTACAACAGAAGGAGCTAATTTTGAAGTCTTTCGAAGAAAAAAAAATTAATTTTGGGTATTTTTATAGATTATTCAAAAGCGTTTGATCGTATCGATCATATTACTCTCATAAAAAAACTCGAATGTTATGGAGTCCGTGGTGTAACACTTGATATTATAAAATCATATCTTAATTTTCGGCGGCAATGTGTTGTAATAAATGGTCAAAGTTCTACCGTTCAACCTATCAGATCAGGAGTACCACAAGGTAGCATCTTGGGTCCTCTTTTATTTAACTTGTATATAAATGATATTGTTAACATCAGTAGAACCCCCTCTTTCATCATTTATGCTGATGATACTAGCTTATTTTTTTAGGCACTGAAATACAGGAACTGGTGTATGAAACTAACACCACACTACAGAAGCTATATGAATGGAGTGTAGTAAACTCGTTAGAAATTAATATGAGCAAAAGCAAGGCAGTCCTTTTCAGACCTAAGAGTAGAAATGTTAGTTCCAATTTTAATATTGTTCTTGGCCTCTCTCAAATTGAACTCGTTCAAAATGTGAAAACGCTTGGAGTTTATTTTAACAACCACCTGTCTTGGAATGATCATATTATCAATATAGCTAAAAAACTTTCAAAAGTGCTGGGAAAATTGTACCAGTTTAAAAATATACTGCCTTGTCGTTTAATATTGCTCATATATAAAGCTCTTTTTGAACCTATTTTAAATTACTGTAGCTTGGTGTGGAGCACTACAAGCCAGTCCAACCTAAATAAATTACATATTCTTCAAAAAAAGGCTGTCCGCATCATACGAAATGTGTCTTTTGACACACACACTCGTCCTCTGTTTAAAGAGCTGCATCTAACATCGATTCTTGATTCATATGAATTTACTCTGCTCACACGATATAGATCCACCCTCCGATGTAATGAACCATTTTTTACTTGTATTTCAAATTTAACTCCCATTTCTAAACCTTATGACGTTAGGGAAAGGGAGCGCTGGAAAATTCCATTTAATGGCACGAACTACGGGTTTCAAATGTTAAGCTATAATCTTCCACTTGTCTTAAATAAAGTTGAAAAACAAAATTTGTCAAACATTGAAAACCTACATCTCAATGAAATTCGAGAACTTTGTTTTCACAAATAAAAAATAAATTGTCTTTGTGAGCTGTAAATGCGTCCGGTTTATATATTTTTGTTTCCTGTATACATCCAGTCACTAGATGCTGTCGTTTCTTTTCGTTCTTTGTGTAAGGGGTCAAATCCTTCCTCTAACAGCAAATAGAGTATATAAGTGCTTTATTTTTTTTCCCCATGTCGCTGTCTGCTTGTTTTCCCCGGTTGCTGTTGTTTGTTACCGTATGCCAATTGTAAGGCTGCAGAGGCCTTGTCAAGTCCAAACTGTTTTGACTTTTTGCCTCTGCAGCCCACATCACTATTTGATGATGATGTAAATAAAATTGATTGATTGATTGATTGATTGATTGATCTATGCTACATGTTTTCGTTACCTGCAAGGGTTTTTGGATTGCGGTCTATCCAAAAACACCATATTTAGCAATATGCTTTCTCCACTGCAAGGTATTAGTTTAAATGTATTTTTGAACATATTTGTCTGGGTTGAAACACTATACGAGCGCCTATCTTCCGAGGTATCAACTGAAGGTAAAATGCGTTACTAAAAAAATTAAGGAACTTGTTAGACATGGGTGCCAAGAAATATTTTATACATGTATGGCCGTGTCTAAATCCAGCTAAAGAATTGAGGGTATAAAACCTGTTTATGTAACGAAGCACAATATACTCACTTTCTCGCTGCATCCAAACTCTTTAAAAGCACATTCAATCGAAGCGTCTTCGCAGATTTCAAGGTGCGCGTTTTTCTGCGAGATCAAAATTAACGATACTTTGATATTAACAGGCGACATTTTATCTACAGCGTGCGACAAACCAGAGTAGCAGGGATATTTTCACCGGCAAAATGAATCACAGAACGTTCAGTTTCCGGCCAAACAAAATGTAGCGCTAGCGGTCTGTACGAGGCTCCAATTTTGGAACTAACCGTTATCTTATTCAAAAATGTACTGATTTTCTAAGCCTTTCAATAAGAAAACGGGGCTAATTATCCGTAGTTTTCGCCATTCAGGCCCATTTATTCCTAGGCTTTTTCGACCACCAATTTACCATTAAATATTTCCCAAGATATCGAACTTTTTAACGATATAACGTCTCCTTGCGAAACTTTGGCCTCTGGTTCCGCCTGCTAGCGCTACATTTGGACCTTGTATATTTGCAATTATTCCAAACAGGCCATACTGTACGCGTTTTGTATCGTACATTCCGCGAACAGGGGCACGAAGAAGTCTCTCAGCTCTTCAATGTATGATACATATCTATAGTATGAAGGATATTAAAGATGTTTGGGGACAGCCTTTATAATATTACAATCATAATCGAAAACGCGAGGAGCTGGCCACGCGCGTTTTTAAATGAGCATTTAAAAACGCGAGTGCCAGCCTCGCGTTTTCTTGAGTAGATGCAAGTTACTTGAGTGCCAGCCGCTCGACTTGGTCAGTAGTTGCCTAGTTACTCCCGCGGTGTCAAAACACGTAACCAAGCAGATGCCAACACTCTCAGAAATAGCCGGTGTACAGGGGCATATATACCCCTTGTCCCATATGTAACACCCAAAAACTACATTTCGACGTTCTGTCCATCGACGTAGAGCTGGCGATACCAACTTTTAAAAGGCTTGATAGTCGAGCGCAGGGTTATCGCGATACAAATGTATCGCGATAGTATTTCAGAAATACATTTCGTATCTGTATTTCTGTATCGCGATACATTTTTTTCACCGGTATCTGTATTCCTGCATAGAAATACATTTGGTATGTTTCTTTGTATCGCGATACAATCAGGATGAAATGTATTTCCTTACATTTTTTTAACCCCCCCCCCCCCCTGAAAAAAAAAAATCCGGACGCTTTTTTTTTTTTCTTTTGAGGGCACCAGGGCCAAGGTGGTACTGGGGCATTGTTAGTGTGCTGACCAAGGTTCCTTTCGATTTTCCGAACTATTTTTCTATGCTTCGTCTTCTTTCTTCTGAGAAGTGCTGCGTAGTCGGGGACTCGAACCAGGTGGCGTGCCAGAAGTGGAGTCGGCGCATCTTGTGCCTCAGGTCCTTAGGTAGGGATTTCTTGAGTCATTGTTTGCTGGCATCCAATGCTCGCTGCTAACCGTCTTTCTTGCCTTAGCGTACACAGTTCACCCAGCGGGAAAAGCTGAGTCACAGTCCGTTGCAGCACGAGCCGGGCGGTGGTTGGCTTGAAATAGTAGGATCACTCACGCAGTGAAGTTCAACACATATTCGAATGCGTCTGCGGCTGCGCCCGTAATATTGCACGGCTCAAGGGTACTTGATCAGCCGTCGTGAACGTGACCCGCTGCTCTGACGATCCGAAACCCAAGAAGGAGGCCAGACGTGGCCTCGCGGTGCCGACTCAGACTCCGTACAGCTGCGACTCGTCTCAAGCGCGCTGTTTCTCGGAGAGCTCGTACCTGTGCCGGTAGTAGAAGGTCGCAATCCACGATGTCTTTTTGGATGATGCAAGGTGAGACTTGAGGACTGCAATCCATGCGTCGGTGGCGGAGGGTCGGCAGAAAGGACCTTCGCAACATGGATGCTAACGTATCGTTTTTTCAGCCGTAACAGACGAAAAGACACGTGTTCCAGGATGCTTCAGGTAGTCCACTATTCTCAAAAATTCCAAATGACACTGCCTGCACAATCTTCAACGAGGTAACCTACAACGAAAGTACGCATCGTCCTTTCATACAACAGCGTGGTAAATTTTCATGTTTAAGGCCACACCAACAGATAAAGAATACGAGTTCATTCCGCCGTGACGTCATGTGATCCATGTTGACAGGGGCATCCTTATTGGTCAGTGGCGTGTTGACGTTTTGGTGGGATTCAGGGTGACATCGAATTTTAGAGGTCGAAGTCTTTTCGCATCTCTCGTCAGACAGACAGGATGTCAGAGAAGGGATTGCGGCCAGTCCAAGATGAAACGTTTCCTTTGACTCCATTGAAGACTCCTAGCCGTTCCAAACCACTTCCTTCAAGGCATAGTGCCATGCCTACGGGAAAGTAATCTCGGGATCAAAAACTTCCACTTCCAACTTCAATCTTCACCTCATTTGGCATCTCAAGCAAATTCGAAGAATGTATTGCAGTATCAGTATTTCTGTATTTGTATTTCTGCCCTTCCTTGAATGTATTCCTGCAATTGTATTTCCAAACACTTTTTGCCTCTATTTGAAATGTATTTCCGATACGTATCGTGATACATTTTTACAGATATATTTCAGTATCAGTATTTTAGCTACTATTTTGATGTATCCCAGTATTTGTATTTCCAAATACATTTTTGAGTATTTCTGCCCAACCCTGGTCGAGCGATACAACTTACTAAAAGTGTTAAACATATGAGCGCGTATGCTATTAAGTACACCAGATATTTACTCATTAATAGCTAATATGTACATAGCTAATAAGTACATTAGCTATTAAAATAGCTAATGTACTCATTAAAGGTTGCAGTAAGAAAATAAAGGTTTTGACCCTGCTGCAAAACTTCAGTGATATTTTTTCAGTCTTTGATGCGCACATAAGCTATTTAGTACTTTATATCCAACACCTATAACGCCGCTCGTAAAAGTTGCTATCGCCAGCTCGATGTCAGTGGACAGAACGACGAAATGTAGTTTTGGGGGGCTACATATGAGACAAGGGATGTACATACCCCTGTTCACCCCCTATTTCTAAGAGCGGACAACGCGCTCATCTCCTCGTGCGAAACAAGCAAGCTATATAGGCTTTTAGCGTTCCTGCCAAGCACTCCTATTTTTATCTTCTTCTTTTCTTCTTTTTCCACTTCGGTGCGCCTCTTGTATAGGGCCGTTCACGAGGAATTCGCGGCACAGTGTGAGTTTCATCTCCTCCGTTGTCTTATGTTACGCTCCCGGAGTTGATACTGGAGTTGCCGCGGCGCTGAAAACGGCGGCGCTGCGATCGAGTCTAGCCCGTCTCACGTCCAGTATTAAAACTGCCCTTGCCACGATGGTAGTGGAAACGAAGGATTCCTTTTCTGAAAGGAAGCTTCGCCTAATGAATAATTTGACCCCACGAAAAATAAGTTCCAATTTGCACAGATCAATCTTCATCGGGCCAGAACTAGATGAACAATTGATACTGTCGTGCGTGAAAACAATAAGTGCGTTTCGCGCCGCCCTAAACAATCTACACATGACAGTGTCTGCTCTCCTGGCACCCGGCAGAATATTTCCTCAAAATTCTACAGGCAGTCATCTCCCATTAGCTGTCTGAAATCATGCGACGACTAGCGTTAGCATTCTGCCTTTCTTATTATTCCGGCATTTCGTGGAAACACGTTTAATGAACACGTTTTATTAACACTCGTTACGCGAATTGCACAATGTAGGGACGTTTCGTCGCGCGTCACTGGAGCTCGCAATAACCCACTCGGCCCACCCGTTAACGCCGCTTCGCGACGACAGTCTGGGGCGGCTCATTACAGAATGAAGCTCTTCTGAGCTGTTGATGAAACACTGCCTATGGAGAAAACGTCGTTCCATGAACTGACTGGCACTGCCAATGAGGGGCGACTGCCAGTAGAGTTTGGGGGAAATTATTATCTTTGCTGTCGGGTGAATAGGCACTTTCTTTTAACATGGTACTGTCATAATCAAGTAAAATGTCCGTTTTGACGTTTATAACCCATACTCACTTCATGATCGCCTTTCAGTTCCAATTTGTAGTACTCGCAAGCAAGTTTCTTTTTTTCACACTGCTCCCTGTGCTCCTGTAATTAAATATATAGTTCAGGCTATCTAGAAGAATAATCGAAAGCATCAACTACAATAATCAATGTCACTCTGTTTATAGAACAATACCAAGAGCCTCTAGCTCTATTAGTTTATCTGAATTTTTTTGTACAAACCTAGCTCTCAAGTACTGCGGTCAAGGCACCGCGTTGTTGTTAAACTATTTTCTTTTACTTTGATGTTTTGAAACAGTTACATTAGTACAACTTTTATTATCTAATTAATACAGACGAACGAACATTCCATTATTAAATACATATTCGTGCTATTTTGGAAACGCTATACAAATAGGAATTATAATTATTTTCAGCTAGCATTCATTTAATTTTTTTTAATTATTCAAAAGCGTATAATTTATTAGCAAACATTATGCGATGGTATTTTCACTTTTTTCGTAAAGGGCTGCTGCGAATTTTTTGCTCCTATTCTTGAGAAGTTGTTTCGCTTGTCGCTGCAAACGGGTGTATTTTGGAAATATCCAAATATTGTCCCAATTTTTATATCTGGCAATTCTAGTGACGTCTGCGATTATCGTCCAATATCTCTTTTCAATGCATTCTTAAGAGTATTCGACAAGGTGATGTACAACCGCCTATATAATTATTTTAAACGAAAGATAGTTTCTATACAGCATGGATTTCTAGCAAGAAGATCCGTTGAAACAAATTTACGCACATTTCTCAATTGTTCAATGCCAACTGTTCAGAGCCGGAGCCAGGTAGATGCAGTATTTTTGGATGTGTGCAAAGCCTTCGACAAAGTCAATCATGCATTACTATTGATATAACTTTGGGACTATGGGCTTTGTCTTGAATAGAGTGCGTGGTTCAGGAGTTTTCTACATGAAAGACAGAACCGTGTTAGTGTTCTTGCCTACTTGTCACAACCTTTAATTTCTAATTTGGGTGTACCACAGAGCTCGAATTTTTGTCCGCTGTTGTTTATTATTTTATAAATGATTTACTGTCCTACGTGAAATACGCGTAGGTCCTCATGTTTTGCAGACGACGTGAAACTGTTTCGGGAGGTGAACATTGTCACTGACTCTGCTTTGCTGCAAGGTGTCTCTTAAGTACAAAGATGGTGTATTCTGAACAATTTAGTTTTGAACCCCCGCAAAACCTAAGTGATGCCTTCGCCCAGAAAGTGTAGAACATTATCTCACATGTATTGTGAGAAATGAAACTATAAGTCGGACCACAATAGTTAAAGATATATGGGTGTTTGTGAATGATCAACTTTTTTTTATTCTCGTGTGAACTCCACTGTTAGCCAGAGTCGGCGCATTTTGGGTATTGGCCAGCATAACTAGACCATTCAGCACTCATTATTGTCTGTTGCGACTCCTCAGTACTCATGTACACTCTAAACTTATATTTGCATCCGTCAATTGGAACTCTAACGAGTAAAAAAAATTGAACATACACAAAAATCAGTTCTGCGGATTGTCTATGACAGATATTTTGGTCGTAAATATTATTTTGAATATAATTTTATTTTATCCTAAAAGAAAACTGTGCACTCTACGTAACGGGAGATCTGTCCGGAATGTTAAGTTTTGGCAGAGGTTGCTTCATGGGTTCATAGACAGTCCTGCACTTCTTGCTTCTTTAGACTTCCGCATTCCGATCAGTGTAAACTCTAGAAATCTTTTTTTACCCAGATATTCATAGCCACTTGCCACCGGTATCACGTGTTCAACATGTTTTAGACACGAAGGTTTGCAATGTTGATATTTTGGTACAAAATTGCCTCTTGTTTGTACAGGGTTGCTCTAAGATTGCCTAAACTTTTATCATGTGTATTATAGTAAAGCATATGCGTAAGTTTTAAAACATGTGTAAAATTTGAAGTTTGTAAATTTGTGATGAATAAGTTTTTATGCTTTGTGCTTTACCGCAAAGGCCTTTGACCTGCCGGTAAGCACGAGAAATCAAACATTGAATTGAATTGAATCTTTCCATGCTAATACCTTAAAAGGTGGCTTTGCTCGCCAACAAAATTTGTTTTTCGAGAACGAACACTTGCTCAAATTGATTAAAGACTATACTGTGACAATATTGCGTGACATCATCATTGACTTGGCTGAAAGAAAAGATTTCTTGCGCGTCTTTCGTACAAATAGAAATAGGAAACGAAAATACTTTCTTTTTCAGGTGTATAAAGTATCTCTGGCTACTATTTTGGACTACACAGGAAATGTAACATGTTAGACACTGCAATAACAAGATTTCCGCCGTCCTTCACGCTCCTGGTGAATTTTATTCTTTAAAAACTAAACATATCTCAGCTTTGAAAGATAGAAAATCGTCTTTTTTTTTAATTCACGCCCCAACACAAAAAAGATTACAGGGGTACGTTATTTCCAGAACTCAAATAAAACCACCCAACAATGTTGTGTTTTGATAGCTTTTCTTTTGTATTTCATCCTGTAAAACAAAGCTTAAACAAACCCCACTTATATCGCCCTCCCTTCAGAATGACTAGGAGTTTAAAAAAAATGAAGAAATATGTAGGCATATATTATTGTATACTTCAAGTGTATAATAATATTATCAGGTTTTGACTAGCCCTTTTTTGTACCTTACATTAGCGCGTTGCAATAAAAAAAACGTGACTACTTAAATTTTGTGACGGCAGCGCAATACGTACAACTACGTTACATGAAACGCGTGTCCGCCTTGTGTGTTTACCTTGTTCTAAAAAGTAGTCTGTCCATTTTCCGCCTAATGTCGTCACAGAAGCGTCACGTTGTCGCCCACCGCAATCCAAGCAGTGTCACAGCGGCGGTAGTGACTCTGGCAGACGCCTGTTCTACTGCAAATCGTTTTCCAGCTTGACAGTGGCATGGAAGCTTTAGCAGCCAGGAGTTAGGTGTCCACGACGACAGGGACACTCGCGTTCAGCCTTACTTTTTGTAAACGACTTGTAGCATCAAACGCCAGGATCACAACATCCGATAACATAACAATTTAGCTTTTGTGACGTGATTTGTTACCCCTTCTTTACCACTTTTAATGCATGGACGCGATTGGACGCTAAACACAGAAGTCGAAGGTACGCTTCAGGCACCTTAGTACAACGAATCGCGACCATTTCCCTCACCTTCTCTAAAGGCTCTGTTATACTACGACGTAACGCGCGCGCAAGCGAACGCTGGCCGAAGTCGGCGACGTCACGTCAGTCACGCCGCGCGCGTCAAAAATTCGACCTCCGGCGGCCCTGGCGACTCCCGCGGCGCGCGTCGGTGGGCCACCGGCGCGGCGCATGCGCAGAATCTGACTACGAGGACCCTTTTCCTGCGAGAGTGGGCCACTTCCGGTTATTTTTTGTTTCAAATAGCAGACAAAAATTCTCGCGCTTCTTGATGGCCAAGTTCGAGCGATTCCGTGGACGTACCTTGCACGACGAAAACTGACGCTTGCACTGTTGGTGCACAGCTTGCGCCGCAAGCCTAGGCGGTCAATGTACACACGGTACATCTTTGACAAGCGCACGGTCTACGGTACTCAAGCTTCCTCGTGTCGTAGACACACGGGTGAGGACGAATTCCCACAATCAGCTTGTCGACAATCGAGTCCGATTCTTCAAACATGACGCCACACGGAGTGGTGCTCCCGTCGTCTGCTATTGCTCGTATTCGCCGCGAGGGCTACTGGGAGCCAGCGCGTGATGCGTCCTGGTCCGGCGTCGCTGGCGCGGCCGGCGCGGAATACGGCATGCTCCATTTTGGCGCCGAGGCGGTTATGCTGCGTCGAACGCCGCCGGTCGCGTCGGTTACGCCAAGACGCCGGAGTATAGAGCGTCGAGTTTTCGCCGACGTAGCGTCGCTGTGACGCGCTCGCACGCGCGCACGCGTTACGTCGGAGTATAACAGAGCCTTAAAGAGTAGGCGTAAAATCCTCCACAGTTCCCGCAGTGCACAACACGCATTGGGCGCTCGGGGGCATGCTTGGACTTCTCCTTCCGTAGTACCTCACACTCACAGCCGTCGCAGACCACTGGCTTCTCGGGGCATTCTTGATCATGTACCTTCAAATGGCGATAAAAATATAAAGCATGCTAAGGACTCCCTGCATTATGTTTTTCCTACATGCCGAACTGTAGTCATAAACTATGCATATAAAACTGATGTATTAATGACAAGGCAGTCAAGATAATAATTGTATTTTTAAGCTTAGTTTTTCACGAATCACCTTGTAATCGTCTTTAGAACTTAGACTCGGTAACTGTTGTTTAAATATTCTTCCAAGGGCGCTTTTTTTGTTTACTCGTATGTAACGCGGTTGTTTGTTTCGGTTATGTAATGATGAAAAATAAAATCTATCATAATATGTTTGACACGAAGCCAGGTTCGCTCCAGTTGTTAATGGCTTGTATTGTTGCTTCTATTCTTTAAACGAAAGTAATTTCGGGGGCGAGCTGTTACAAAGTCTTGATGTGCAGTAAAAACAGGGGAAAAAATAAAAAAATATAGAAATAGTATCAACTAATTTATCTTGACCTTATTAGTTCATTCAAGGTAAAATATCGTAGTACAGTGAAATCCATTTAGAACAAACCCACGTACAGCGAATTATTGTCGATATCGAACTCACGGAAAATTTAAACAAAAATGCATGTAAAAAGTATGTTTTATGACGAACAACATAATGGCTATATCGAACTTTTTCCCCGGGAAGGCTTTTAAAAACGCGTAGCCTGTCCCTTCCCCCAAAAAAGAAGTAGGAAGGAAAGAAAATTCCATAAGCTCAAGTTGCGAACGAAATTGAGCGAGAGAAGCAATTCAGAAAGGGAGAAAGCTAAAGAATACACTCTGCACGCACGCACAAAAAAAAAACTTATCATCCCAAAGCGCTTCCCCACGAAGAGAAGCGATTAAGAAGGGGAGATAAGCTTTAAAAAAATTCTGCACGCTTGCAAAAGAAAAAAAAAAAAAACTTTTCAGCTCGTTGTTACAAGGCAGAAGTCAAGAGAT